TGACTGTACAGTAAGGAGCTAGGAAAAAAGAGATCTAAAGAGATCTTTTTCTCCTGTCTAGAAAGAATTATAATTTGAGCACAATTGTACATTCACAGAATAGTGATCATAAGTATCATTTAAGTGCAATACATAACAGTTAAAGAGCATTTTAATTGTGCATAAAAAGCACTGTGGTGTTCCGTAGAATTGTTGAAAGACTTGTAGGTACTAAAAAGGTACTAGGTACCGAAAAGGCTTATAGGGACTAAATCAGGGTATCCTTATTGATTAATAAATACTAAATCAAGGTATCCTTGCTGAAGTATAAAGTACTAAAAAGGTACTACAAGGCTTATAGGTACTGAATCAGGGTATCCTTGTCAATTATGGGATTAGGCTACAAGCACAAATACAATTGATTCATGAGGCTTCGGATCTGCTTTGTGGGTAAAGTCCAGTCAACTCGTGGGAAGACTCATGGTGTTCTCCCCTACCTGGGCAGGCAGGAGAGGACAACATCTTCTGGCAGCTTTTGGAAAAGTTGATGTCTGGAAGAACAATGAGAGGTTCTGCACATGCTTTTTAAGTAGTCTTTTGTGTTGTAGCATTAGGAAACCAGTACTGATCAGGAGCCCAGGAGCAAAGAAGGAAGGGGTTTATTAATGAGTGCCAAATGCTTCTATTTAGAGTTGAAAATGCAGGGAACATCTCATTCAAATCAATGTTGATCTTTAAGGGATTCTCGGTATGAGGGAAGTACAGAAGTTTCTCATGAAGGGTTAATACTTCAGCCACTGTTACCATTCATATCAAATAATCCTGTAAGAATTAAATACTGTAAAGTATTTGAATGGTATCAGGCCATCAGAAATAATGTGCAGAGGAGATGCAGCAGTGGTCTCCTCTAGTTCTTGTTACTTCAGATAGTACCGCCTGCCTAGCAGAGCTTCTCTTTCTGGGTGGCCCTGAAGCTGCAGCCCTGTTCTGCAGCGGGGGTTATGGTTATATGGACTCGACGTTCAGCTTTAGGGCTTCCTAGAAAATCACCAGAGAGAAGAAAATGCACGAGGGAAAGACTTGGTTGTTAGGAGCATAACAGGATAAAGATCACAACCGGCGTCTGCCTCCGTAAAAAGTCAAGGATAAAAGTGGGCTCACAAAGAGAGCTGCTATTAAAGTTTTTTAAAAGTTACTCAGCGGGCTCAGGCATCACAGTCGGGTGCTGCGTGCAGACCTGTACTGCTGCTGTTACCTACTCAGCGGGTGTCGTGACACCCGAAAGGTTGATGCTCTTTTGCACCCCAGAGTGTGGACGAATTTGATAGTGACCCAGTGATGTAAATCAGTACATTAATATTCACTTTGGGGGCACATGATGGCTTTAAAAAACTTTAAATGGCCTTAAAAGCAACTACGGGAGCTCTGCCACATAGATGGGTTCAGAAGCTGAACCACCCTAATAAAATCCATCAGCGGCCTTACCCACCTGCTTGCCAGTCCAGTTCTCTGCACTAATGAATCAGAAGGGTGAGACTAACCACACAAACCAGGAGCATCTGAAATGTACTTTTTCAAAAGGAACTTTGCCTTCATCTAGTGTTAAATGAATTTTCAATGAGGAGTTTTCCCTTGCCTGCTGAGTCTGTAGCAATTAGTTATTTCATGATCTTCTGAAATGCCTGGTGCATTGCTATATTTGAGATATTTGCTGGTTTTTAAATGGAATTAGGTTTGTAAATATTTTGTCAACCCCATTTCAGTGGGTATCCAGTTTATACAGAACCTGAAGAAATGCTGTGTCAAAAAACCCGTGTCTTGGGGTTTATCTGTAGCATCTCAAGCACTAAATAACAGCGATAACAATTTGAGGGAGCAGGGACTGATGGGTTTAAGGAGGTTTTTCAAGTTAACATTGTGCGTGCTTTACTAGTTTTACACATGGAAATAGAATTTTCCCCCAATACACTTTCCAGCATAAAGGATGAAATAATTTGTGGTGCCAAACACTTTGAACCGTGTTGCTAAGCATTGCCTCCTCCGATTGCACTAGTTTTAAAATGCAGGTTTTGATCACTGTCCCTTTGATGGCCTTTTAACAGATTTTCCCCAAACTGTCTTCTACTGCTTAAAAATGCTCATGTCCCAAAACCTCAAAGAAATTTACCACAGACTGTGGGTAAAAGCAGCACTATGTGGGGTGAAGTAATAAATCAGAATGATAATTGAACTTTGATATGTTGCAAAAATATAAGATTAATATATGACTGAGATGTGATTGTGTATGCTTACGGAGTGATACACTGAAATATTCTTTTATAAGACATTTTAGCCCACCTAACATGAAATTCTGCGAATAACTGTGTATAATTGATATATAATAATGTAAATTATAACCCAAAAGTTAAATTTTAGAGTTAAGGAGCACACAGTGACCTATGTAAAAATAAGATCTTCACTTTGTGAATCATTTTTTTAAAAAGCACTTTCCTATTGCCAACTAGCATGTGAATGAATTTTAGATTCTCTCATTTGTTACGATCTGTAAAAGTGAAATTTCTTTAACCTGTTAATGGGAAAATTCATCATAAAAATGCTGAAACGAAGCACCTTATACTATGCTGCTTAAACTTGCTTGTAATTGCACCTTTTGTTACCCGCAGAATTTTCTTAATGAGTATTCTTGTGCGATATCATTGTTCCCTGTGGGGCTGGGTGAATGATTAACCAACCCACAGCACCATTTCCTTACACAGTTTCTATTTCAATACAACATTGTATTGTGAGTTCAGTGCTTCAGAAATAAATGCTACTTCCATTTGTCTGCTTTGGTCGAGTATCATTTATTTCTCTTCTACAAAATTAAACCAAGACCTTCAGAAAACCGTAACAACTTGAAAATCATTAACTTTTTTTGCCTAACTTTTCCCGTACTGAAGTAATCTCACTTCAAACTTAACTGTTTTAATTTCAAAGTAATTTTGGCTTCAAAATATTTTAAGCCATTCTTTAACCTTGGGCATGTATTAAATATGTATATATTGGGCAACTAACCTTGTTGCTTATCGCTCTGGCTGTAATTTAAATTTTTTTTAATAAGTACATATATACCATAGAGGAGTAGTAACAAAGAAATAACGAAACCTTTCCTGTAGTTGTGGAAGTTGCCCATTTTGCACTATTTCTGTCCTATGTAAACAAGTTTGTATTGTTAAACAACCTTAAACTTAAACTGACAAGAAGCCACACTTTAACAAGAAAACACACTTCAAAATATCACACTTGTTTGAACCTTTGACAGTAGGTCCACGTGAGCATGTAACAGGTGAAAGGGCTCCAGCTTTTATTGCTTTTCTTGCTATAAAACCTGAGATGAGTCCATTTAAAGCAAAATTCTAGTCATAAACATGAGGTTTAACTGCAAACTTGTTTTTTGTAAGTAAAACAAGAGGTCCTTTCTGAAACCCGTACTTTGAAGTTAAATTCTCTGACCTCACAGGCGTTCACCACTCACCAGACCCAGTGTGTGGCATCCCACGCTCACTGCAATATGCATTGCAATATTGGGCATTCATTGCAATATTGGTGCATACTGGACTTTTTTCCATGGGTTGTAGCTCTGGAGCTGTCTCCTCACGTTATCTGTGAGAACACAGAACGTCGGACCACCCGCTTCTGTCACCCAACACTCTTCTCTGCACTCTTTTCAGTCAGCAGCTCCTTAACAGATCACAGTTACTGTGCCCGGTTTATCAGCTGGCTCTGTGTTTTCACTGTTAAATGGCACAAAGCAGAATTGCCAGCTGACGAACGGATCCGTCGACCACGTCTCCTCTGTCACCTCAACGTCGTGACATCGACACCAGTACGCTACAGCGATGAGAAAGCTGTTGATGAAGTACAGCCATGGGACGTTCATCTCCATGTAGGCTGGAATCCGAGGGCCCAGAAACGAAACGATGATTTGAAGAAGAACAAAAGGTGCCCAAGTGCCAAGAAAACAGATGAGGAGTCTGGTCAGGAGCTGCCGCTTAAAGCAAGTGCCGTTGTTGTAAGGCACGTCGGAGAACATCAGAACAGGCTGACTGGCAAAGGAAACGACCCTAACGGACAGCAGCATGGTTATCACTTCCCTCCGACACGCCAGCAGAGCTGCGCCTGTGAGCAGCACCACGGCACACGAGACCGAGTAGCTCTGCACGCTGGTGTAGAGAGGACACTGATAAGGAGAAAAATTATTCTGTATTTCTAGCTCGTCAAAGACAGCAGGCACTTTCAGAATGCAAGAAAACCCTGAAATCCATATTACAACCACAGCAAATACATAAAGTAATCTTGTACCGCTTTTAGGAAAGTGAGAGGTTTGGGCTATAGTCATGTAATAATCCAGACTGGCCACGAGATAGACCGGGTAATGCAGAACACCGTATGTAAGAGAAATTATCTGAGTGAACAGGCAGATGTGGTATTTTGTAAACCGCACGCCCCAGAGTGCAAAGTCCTCAAAACAGAAAATGAAAAATATACTCATCAGCAATGCAAAATCAAGAAGCGCCAGCGAGACACAGAAGTATCCCATAAAACTGACTTTCACATTTTTTTGCTTAACTTGTAACATGAAGAAATCAAGGGTCACTTTCCCAAACATAATCAGGAGCAACATGCAGCTCATCTCCAGAGGTTGGGTGGCCTGGCTATAGTGGTACTGACCAGAACAATTTTCACCGAGTATGGCAGCCATCCTCTTAACTGTGAGGACCAGCAAAACAAGTGTCACAGGGCATAGTGCTTCATAGCTAGAAAGAAATAAAAAAGTTTGTAAAAATTTATTTCTGGGGTACCTCTACCAAGTACTTAAATGTCCATCATAGCAACTACCAAATTTACATCTGATTTTTCCAGGCTCCTTAATCAAAGAGTCAACAGCTTCATTAAATTGTCAAGAAATGCCTAAATACTGTGTTCTTCAAATTAGGCTCTTGAGAATTAGAAGTTCAATATAGACCTAAATTACTCTTCTAGCTACTGTCCTAAGGAAAGCTTTAGGAAATAAGCTTCCCTGTGTCCCTCTCCATTAGGAAGCATGGGGGTCTTTCTGTCCAGTTGGGCAGAGCTCCCACCTATTTTGAAGAAAATCAGCAACCACATAGGACAGAGATCACACAGATGTTAAGATTATAGCCTTATTGAACCTATAGAATCTATATGGAATGGAGACCGCAGAAATGTCCCAGAAGCAGAAAAAGTATGAGCCTAGCTCATGCTTTTTTCCTGCTAAAAGCCTGGCACTCTGAGGGAATCCAAAGCACTCCCCCTGCTTCGTTATTTGATTGGGCTTTTTTTTTCATTCTTCAGTGATGTAAGTACCACAAAGATCAGCACCTCAAAACTGTTGTTTTTCCCCTTGGACCTCCCCAAGTTTCTTTAGGAAAACTCTTTTCTGGGTGTTAATTCCCAAGGAAAATGAACTCGGGATGGATTTGTGGGTACATGTTAGACAAAGCTGTACGTGGTTCTCTCTTTCCCAGAGCAGCAGGATGGTGTCAGCAGGATCCTAGAACTCTGAGCGACAGCAGAGAAAATCCGAGAAGCCAAGGCAGCTCTAAGCAGGAATTGTCTCTTAAGCTCTCTGTTAAAACACCTGTATTTAAGTATAGCCCTACCTTTTATTCCCAGCTTGC